AAAGCATGGAAACTAACTTGTCTGTAACACTGCTTTAGAATTTGGATATATTGTTTATTTTAAAAAATCAATAAGGAAAGGTAAAAGGAAATACTGGAATTGGAGAAGTGTTGTCATATGGGTATTTCTGTAACATCAATATGCAAATTTTGAAAAATGTCTAAAATTTTTTGTACATTATATCATCTTCTAATCTTGTTACAGTGAAAAAATAATTTGAGGCAGTTCTAAGCCTGTGCATGTAACGAGATGGGGATGAAACTGCACTGCACTTTTTATCAGTAATTTCCCCAAAACATGGTTCAGTGTAATTGGTTCACTTTTGCTTAATTAAATTGCACAGTGCAGAGTGTCAGAATTAGTGTGCTCACTAATAGGTCAGAAGAGGTCCAAACCATACACAAGCCAACTAAAAAGAAAAATTTAATCTAGGAAAAAACTTGAATAATTAACAGGCAACACTTGGCCAATGACTTTCCTGTATGTGTAGGAATCATTGCCTATATGAAGTGCTCTGCAGCACTGTAAATTCATAACTAAAGTGTTGATGTTGGTTCTATAATTCAAATAATATTGTAATGTCAAAATTCAATTAGCTATTTAGCCTACTTTTGGTATTCTTGTCTTTCTAGAAGATTTGTTGAGAGAGGCAATTCTCTTTGTGACTCTCATCCCTTTTTCTTTCTTTATCTTTTTCTGTATCCACAATAGGAGAGGAGATAAGCCTCAAAACTTCTTAAACTTCTACTTTGCTTCCCTGGATGTGTGATAGAAAATTGTCAAAATCTGCAAATACTTGAAAGCACTTCAGGTGAATTGCTGTGCATACCATGAGCATATTTGGGAAATATGGTAGGAAGAAGAAATATTGTTAACAATCTGGTGTCAGCCTGTCATTAAACACACTAAAAAACACAGATGCTGAAAAAGTAAAAGGCCTGCTCATTCAAACAATAACAAAATAAAGTGTAAAATCCTACAGACACAAGAATACAATGTATAACAAAATGGAATTCACTTTCAGCGTTATGGGAAAGTGTCATTTACAACTGTGAGTAAAAGAGATACTATTGGAAGGTTCATTTCTGGTTACACTGCCGAATCAGCAGTGTGTTCTATTCACTAAAAAAGCTCTTGCTTCAGACTCCAAGAGATCAATAATACATTGTGTTTTCCTTAGTATACAGGTTGTAGTTAAAGTCAGCAACTGTGAGTGCTACTCTTTAAAAAATCCTAATGCAGGTTTCTTGGTCCAAACATCACAGCATTTTTAACATCAGCAAATCCTAATGAGTGCTGCATGGAAAAAGTGTTTTCAGTTCATTGTAAATCTGTTCTTGGTCAGTATCCTAATTAAAGTGTTTGCTTTGATCACATGAAAACACAGACAGTAAAGAGTGATGGTTCAGAGGACTAATGCACAATACAACACGATATGATGAGAAATGTAAATGAAAAATTAATGGATTTTGGGTTTGGTTTTTTTTGAGAAAGTCAGAGTTTTATTATAATTATCATCACTAAAGATAAGACATGTACAGTTAATTACACAAAGAAAAAAGGACAACCCATTATGTGTAATTTATATGGTTTGGGGTTTGTTTTTTTGGGGATTTTGTGGTTTTTTTTGGGGTTTTTTTTTGGTTTTTTTTTTTTTTTGTTATTAACAGAAAGATTATCCCTTTATTTAAGAAAATAATAAAAACAGAACAGATGTTTTTCTGTTCACAGGGCGGATCACATTCAGGCTTGTTTTAAGAATGGTAATATACGGAATTCCTTTCTTCTACAAAAACATGCTCTCTAGAAATCTGAGGATGAAGTTATTCAAACTGTGGCTCCCCTTCTTTATCTTACCTGGTGCAATCACCCTATTTAATACTTCAAAGTTTATTATACAAAGTGGCAAACGTTTCAGGGGGAAAAAATGTAATAATAGGACTCTAGTTTTTTATATTTCATATTTTTGCCTTCCTTTATTGCATTTAGTATGTTTGCATACATCTGAAAAAGCACAATGGTTAAGATTTTAATTGGAATTCAGAATAATTCACAAAGTTACAAAAAATTAATCCGTGTGTAGATGGATGAGCACTCTTCTTACAAAGTTGTTCCCCTGGAAATCCTGCTAAAATTCAAATTAAAAGCTGGTGCAGGGACACTGTGGAGGGAATGCCACCCATCCTTTTTAGCTGTCTGGTTCCCCAACAGTTTCCTGCAACTTGTGGAGTTCAAGGCTGGCAGGAGGCAAAGCTGTGAGAGGAAACACACTCATTTTGTCTGTGCTCTCGTCACATCTCTCCCTGCCTCCTTTTTCTATTCAGCTGTAGTCTGACATGACTTGTAAAAGCAACAGAAATGGGAAGCCAGACCTTCCAAGCTCCTTGAAGGAGGAATTGCCTGCCTGATGTGCACACAGGTGTACAAGTGCTCACAAGTGCCTGGAGAGTGTCTGCACAGACATAAGCACATAAATACTCACATAAGCATATAAATACACGTGCTGCTGGGCTTGTCTGAGAAAAGCTTGGTGTAAAACCCCACATCTGCACCATGCAACAGCAGAAGTGAGGGAAGGAACCTCAGTTCACTTTTGCTGTGCTAATTAATTGGCCTTTCCCACTGATGTGGGAAAAGTTTTTGACTGCTCCAAGTGACTCATCTTCACCTGGGGCCCTTTACACAGGATATCCCGCATTAATATTTTATGGCAGGCTGGCTGGGAAGCATCTTACTACTCAACCAGGAACTGCAAAAGAATTAAAGCCTGAATTCTCACTCCTTAACCAAAAAGCAAACCTTGGTAGGTAGTTAGTGCTACTTTCCTTTTGCCTATGCTAATTCTAAACCAGAACAGTATTGAGACTCATGGCATCAGAATAATTTGTGTTGGAAGGGATCTTTAAAGGTCATCTAAACACCCAAAGTGTAAAAATTTAACTTACTTCTTTTACCTGCCCTTGAACCTTTCACTCTTTACCTGCCCCTGAACCTTTCACTCTTTACCTGCCCCAATCACTCTTTCACTATTTTGAAATTTTTCCTCAAGCTTTTATTGTTGACTTTCTTTTGAATAAAAGTTTCCTCATAGGATGTTGTTAACACAGCTAACTGTAGGAAATATTGCAATGTTGTAGGATCACTGGACTCTTTAAAGATCCCTCCAAATACCCACAAGTGCATATTTCTGTGTTGTCTTTGCTCATTGAACAACTCCTCTGCAAATAATCCTTAAATTAGTAACTTTTAAACCATTCTTTATTCTTGCATTACAAAGCTAAGTGTTCTCACACAAAGCTTCTCCGAAGATCCATTTAGGCACCTCAGCAGAAACTTTGGTATTCTCTGGTGCAGACTCTTGTAGCTGCATTACCCACTCACTTCAATGGGATTTTTGAACAGTGGGAAGCACTGGGAATTACCTTTTCTTTTTTTCCCCTCTTACTTGTGGATTTAGACACCTGGTTTGAGTCATATTCAGAAATACGGGTATCAGTATCTTCCTTTGGGTTGTTTTTTTTTTCCCCGCCTTTGTATAATAATAATGATGATGATGATGATAATAATAATAATTTTCAAAGTACTACTCAGGCCGGTATGTGGAGTGTGGCGGGAGTGCGGCACTTCCACAGGGCGCCCATCCCAGGTGCCAGCGCACCTGGGCTGGGGGGAAATGTGAGCAGCCGGCAGATCAGATCAGATCAGATCAGCACACACATACACATCTGAGACGGCTTCCCCAGCCCTGCACAAGCTCCTGGTACCCAACGGAGGAAAAAAAAAAAAAAAAAAAAGGAAGAGTAAACGTTCCAGGGATGCCCAGACGCGGCCGGCTCACGCTCGCTTGTCCCTCGCATGCCCTGGCCGTCACTTTCCGGAGCAGCAGCAGCGCAGTGCCCCCCGGGCGGGTCCCCTTGTCCCGGGAGCCGCCGCCAGCCGCGGGTGGGGCCCGCACCCCTTGGAGCGGCGGCCGCGGCCCTTCCCGAGCGGGGCTGCGCTCTGCCCGTGCCTTGTCCGCGAACCCCCTCTAGCGCCGAGCCCGCCGCACTCGGCCCGGAGCTGCCGGCAGCGCCGAGGCGAGGGGGCGCTTCCCGCGCCCGCCTCACGCACCGCACCGCGCCCCGCGCTCCCCTCGGGCGGGCGGCTGAGGAGGGGCCGCCGCTCCGACGCTCTCCTTCCATCCCTCCCTCTCTCCCTCCCTCCCTCCCTCCTTCAGCGGGGCGGCCCCGCGGCCGCGCCGGAGGAGGGGGCGAGCGAGCGCTCCGCGGGCGGCAGGGGAGCGGCGGCACCAAAAAACTGCAGCCGGCAGCGCGGCACGCAAATCAGGAGGGAGCAGCGAACATCACACCAGAGCCGCCTGGTTTCTGATTGCTCCGCGGCAGAGGGGGAGAGACAGAGACTGACTGAGAGGGGCGAGCGGCAGAGCCGGGCACGGCGGCGGAGGGTCGGGGATGCCGCCCCGCAAGTTTCCTTGATGCATTCGGGAGCGTGAGGAGGAGTCGCCGACCCTTCTCGCCCTCGCTGCGCTCCACCTGGGGAACCTGAAGCCTCTCGGCGCTGCCTCCGGCCGGGGATGCGGGGCACCGTGCGGCGCGGCCGGGGGAGGAGGCTGCTGCCGCGCAGGAGGCTGTTGAGGCTGCCAGGGGCGCTCCTGCGGGGCTGAAGGTGCCACCGGCCCGAGCCGGCGGAGGGAGCGGGGCGCGACCCCCCCCCGCCGCCGCCACCGCCTGGAAGTTGCCGGAGCTCTCCCCGTGCCCAGCGCCGCCGCCCCTCGCGGCAGGGCGGCAGCGGGGGTCCCGGCGCCCCCGCCCGCCCTCGCCCTCGGTGCTGCCGCCGTGCCCCGGGAGCCCGGCGGTGGATGAGCCCGGCCCGGCCCGCGCAGCCCCGGGCGGCAGTGCAGGCAGCGCAGCCCGGCGGGGCGGCGGCGGACCCCGCCGGCCTGAGGGAGCACGGGCAGCCTCGGCGGGCCGAGGTCGCGGGGCGCTCGGCGGGCACCAGCCATGGGGTGTAGTGAGGTGAGGGCACTGCTCTGGAGAGTCGGCCTCCTCCTCCCCCTGCTGACAGCGCGCCCCGCCGCCGCCGGGCACGTCGCCAGCAACCACGGTGAGTGAGGGCGGCCGCGGGTGCGCTGCGGGGCGGGCCGCCCGCAACTTTCCGGCGGGCGAGGGCTGTGAGGGGATGGATGGAGGGAGGGGTCCGCACCTGCGGCCGCCAGCTCGGCCTCTCCCGGCCGGGGACCGGGCGCCTCCCGGCGGTCACCCCTTCCTGCCGCCCCCAAAAGTTGGGGGTTTGCGGCTGGAGGAGCAGCGGGGCTCCGCTGCCGTCCCCTCCGCGGCTGCCGGGAGCTGTCCGCTGTCGCCCCGGGCACCCTCGGCCGCCGCGGTGTGGGAGTGAGCGCAGGGAAGCGAAAGTTGCCTCCCGGCGAGGCGGAGCGGCAGCATCGTTTTGTTTGAAGTGTGGGTTTAAGGTTTGCTTCGGTCCTGCCGAACGCAGATCCCGTAGAATGGGTTTGAGAGGGCTCATCGCGCCTTAGGGGGAATTGCTGCTGGTGAGCGAGCCGTTCAAAGGTGCCTGGCTGCCCTTAACCCCTGATTTCTGCATACTCCGGGCTGGTTGTCTGAAAAACACCCATTTAAAATCTTTGTAACAGGTGCATGCTCATCAGGTCGCACCGAAGACGGGATTTTAATTCTTCGGGTTGTAAGGTGTGCGTTTTAGAAAATTACCTCTGGATTAAGAAGGGAATCGTCCTGTTCGTAGGAATAAAAATGCATAGCACGCCCAGAGGATACAACATTTTGTTAGGAGGAACTAAAAAAAAAGAGCCCAGACCCGATTATGAAACATCATGTTACATGTTACCAAGCATCTGGATAGAGCAGAGAATTTCCTGAACTGCTTGTTTTATGTACATCTGTCTATTTAAGTTGCAGAGGATGCATCTATTCCCACAGTATGAGAGGCTTCTGTACCTTTAACATTATTTTTGTACAATTTGGCTTTTTTTTTTTTAGGTTTTAGTGTGATATGACTGAAAATACAGGAATTGAAGGGTAGCTCTAAATGTTGCTGCTGACAGAAATTGCTTTACCTGCTATGTTGAAAAAAGCGCTGAAATTGACAATGGTGGGAAGTAACGGTGAAAGAAAACAAACTGGGTTTAGTCGAGGAGTACTGTCAAATATATAGTTCATGTATTTTCACAGTTTTGTTCTGCAGTTTGTTTTCAGTGCTCTTTGTATCGACCTCAGTAACAGTAAAATCAGAGAATAAGATCTCTAGAAAACAGGGAAGAACTATAGTAGGGCCACAAAGCCCCTGTGCCATCAGGATGAGTTATGGCAAGGACATTCCAAGTTTCTATGATTCCTTTACCTCTCCTATGCTAAATGTGATGAATAATTCCACTTTGTCATTGTAGAGCCTACAATCACATCAAGGCTGATTTTTGCCATTTCTTCTGTCTTGGAAGATATCGGACTCTCACAGTGGCACAACCCAGTTTTCCTTTGATGTCACAGGCATTAGTGCATGCTAATGTCTGCTGCATTATCACAAGGCCTAACACCACACATGAATATGATTTTAAAAAGTATATATTCTTGCTATTGTAGGATAGCTAAGGCAGCATAACAGCATCAAAGGCAAAGAATTTTTATCAATTAATGCGACTCAGGTTTCTAAACTAGTATTTGATATTTCGGGATTAGATTAGTAGTGTTTAAATAGTGTTTTAAAAGTGGTTTAACAGTGTTTTTGAAGGATGGGGAAGACAGTTGCCAAAAGTCTGTCAGGGATGAAGTGGTTTCTTGATGTTGTTGTAACTTTTCCTAACAAGTCCAGGTGTGGTGTTGGCTGCAGAGAGTACTGGTGAATTTCCTAACTCCTGAGTAACTTTTCTGCACGTTGCTTCCAAAGTTCAGTAAAATGAGTACCCTCTTAGCCTTGGTACTGCCATATCACCACAGAAATCAAATAATAAATACAACTCAACAAAACCCAAGAGAACTGAAAATGGACTGAATTAATACAGGTGCTTTCATACACACCCCCCATCCTGTTAATAAAATGCTAGCAAAAAGAGCCTGCTTTTAATGATAGCTCTATTTAAATTCAGGAATTGAAGGAAAGGAAATTACTACAATTAAAAAGTTGCCCATTGTGTAAACACTTAAATGTGGAAGGTTAAAATGGCAATTTCTAATACTTGGAATCCCAGCAGCAAAGAATTTTTTAAGATCTTGTGAGGAAACAAAACTTCTTTAAATTTTCCTGAAGTGATATTCTCAGCATGCACGTCTAGAAAACATCTTTGCAAGAACTGCTGTTGGATCTTCACTAATAATTATTATAATGATATGTTAGCTTTGCTATCTTGTATATTTAGTCTTCTATTTTGTGTGTAGAAACATACCAGCATTAATAGTAAATTGCAAAGGAATGTCTTGTTTCATGTCTTGATGGTTTGGGTGAAAAGGATGGAAGGGGAATAGGTTTATTAATCTGACTTGGTAAACAGACAGCCCTTCCACTTCATTCTTGATGGTTTGTTTCCTATTATTAAAGAGGGATTTTCAGAAAAATAATATACTCTGGTCTTATAAATTGTTATTATAACCATGTTGGGATTAATCTTTTTTGGTCTTGTCAAACAGAAAGAAATAAATATATTTTTTTATATAGCTATAAGGCTCTTAGGTTGTCATTCTTCACCCAGTAAATCAATGTGTGGTGTCTTAGAGAATTTCTAGCAAGGCAGGCACAAACAATACTATTGGCAGGGAAGTGAACTTACTCATTCATCTTCAGAGTGGTCATTCAAAAACATATTATGGCCATGGCAAGGGCTAATTTTTACTGCTCAGAAAGACCCTGTAGGGTTTGGAATTGCATAGGAGGAGTAACCACTGCAGTGTGTGGCAGAACTCCTTGGAACAGGGAGCTCAATTAATGGTGGAGGTTGAATGCTTGCATGTTCATACAAATTTTCAGTGGTTGTCCCTCACATCCAGTATGAACAGGCTGCTGTGCAAGGTTTCTGCATGCTGTGGTGCAGCTTTGTTCTTTGCTTGCCGGAACACCACGAGTTGGGCAATTGCTGTCAGAGCTAAAATTACAGATAATGGCACCTGACCTGCGCAGCTCCTTGTGCAAAACTTGTGGGAGCTTTCAAGATAAAGGTCACACCAGGTAATGGCTCAACAGTTTCCTGTGCTAAGCATGCACACATAAATGTTTCTACATATATAAAAATCAGAAACCATATTTGTTTCTACGTGAATGCCAACCAGAGAGAGTTTCTGTACCCTGGCTTCTTTCAGGTTATGCAAGCGTGGTCTTTTTGTTCATACCTCTAAAAGGCACCTGCATTCATTTTTCTCCTCTTACAAAAAAGAAGTTGACGTAAGAAATATTGTGAAATGTCAGTTCTGCAATTCATGCAGCCTTTATTTTTACAATGATTACACTTGATGTAAATTGGATGGCTCAAAGTAGATAATAAAGCTTTTTGATTCTGCTAGTAAAATATCAGGTAGATTACTAATGACCTCGAGGTATTCATCAGTTCAAAGAAGTTGGCTCATTTTCATTCACATATTTATTTTTACAGAAGTGCAATCTAGGCACTCTTTCTGAATACAGAATTCAGATTCTTTGTTTTTTTCTGTAGCAATAAGGAGACCAAAGACTGTGTGGGGAGATGGAAGTTCTCTCTGAATGAAGCTGATGGTTTACTGCTAGGACATATCTCTTACTTTGAGGACTTAAAGTACTGTGCTGCTGCCTGTGTTGTGCTAGTCCTGGGGAATTCTGATGTTCAGTTGTCCAGCTCATGCTTGAGTAAGCATTTACATCATTACAGAAACATGAGAAAGTTAAATAAACAAAGCCATTGCAGTAAATGTGTGTCATTCCCTTTTCAGCATGTAGATAAAATCATGAGCAAAATCATATTTTCGTTTCAAGTTCTTAACAAACTTTTAACAATATTTTTAGCCATGTGTAAAATCCCACACCCATATGGACTTGTGTGCTAATGAAGGCCTGGGAACCTCTGCAGTTGTAGATATGCATGAAATGACTTGTTATCCAAGAGCCTCGATTTGTATGCCATGAAATGAACAGATTTGCAATTCATGGTTCAGGATACATTCCTTGTGTTGTATTTGGCAGTACTGAGGGCTGGATATTTTGTTAATTTTATTTTTTTTTTTTTTTTTTTTGGACAAATGAGAATGGTTGGTATGGAAATACTAAGTATTAAGAAATGCATAGCTTAAGCAGATACAGTTTAAAACCAAATCAGTACAGTAGTTTTCATGTAATTTGCAGGAGTGAAAACACCACAGAGGAGCTGAAGTGTTGCCTGAAGTTAACCAATTTAACTCTCTGCTCAGACGTAATTTCTTATGAGAGGTCAAAAAGTTTACTGAGGAAAGAGAGAGAAGGAAAAAGCATATAGGAAATTGAATTTTTCTTCTTAAAATCTCCTCTGTCTTTCCAGATAGATACTTTTAGATCTTAACTCTGCTTGAGGGTTTGTTTAGGGTATCTGATGTTAAAATTTTCACTTGAGAATTTTAGAAAAGTCAAAAAGTTCAGCAAGTTGTTTGCAAGTAAGTTGCACAATAAGTCAATATCCATTTTGTTGACTATTTTTTTTGTCATGAAAAGTCTAATGTTTAAAAACCTCATTTAACTGAATTGAGATATTCAGAAAATTTTGCACGTGTACAGTATGGGAAGGATTTGATTGTTCTTAGATCCCAGTATGCCATAGCTGGGATAGGATCTATTCCTATTTCAGCTGTGTGTGTTGGCTGGAATGTTTCATTAGGATCCTTGGATTTGCCCAACGTGACATTGACACAAAGATGAGGCTGGCCTTGTGTTTGATATGCCCCTTAACATGCTGAACTCTGTGACAGAGAGAATGATCAAAGGGATGAATTATTTATCCATAATCTATCCTGACCTCCAGAAGCCGTGTTATAATGCAGGGGAGGTCAACAAAAAACTATCTCTTGTGAACAATTTGCCTTCAGAAGCTGGTTTTTAACTTGTAAATGATATGTCAGTCTTTATGATATGGTGTTAGAACT